CAGAGTTGCAACTGGATGATGTTCTCACTAAAGGGGTGGCAAGGAACAAGCTTGAACATGATCTACGCAATTTGGGAATGTGTGACATTACTCCCAACTTGAGGGAGAGTGTTGAAGATTAATTAGTTTTATGATGTTTTTCTGAGTAGATGTTTTATGTTAATTGTTAGATAGGATGTGGAGACCACAGTAGTTATGTGAGTCCAAATTTTATTAATGTTTTGAGTGTTATATAAATTGTTTTATGTTTTTCCGCTCTATAAGGGCATAGTTGTCTTTGTATTGTTCTATTATTTTAGAATAAATAATAAGTGAAGGGGGCGGCCAGATTATTGCTCTCTTTTCTTTCAACTTCTCTTCTTCTCTTCTCCTTCTCTCTTCCTTCTCTCTTCAAGAAACTACTTTCTTTCATATTTTTTTAATTCAGCAGATTCCTACTCATAATAATGCACATATATACAGTTGTCTACTACCATACCTCTCCTCATCAGGTTAACAAGTGATAAGCATCTTCTAGAGCAGCTAACCAAGTTAGGAAAGCCATATTTGATGGAACTTCCAAGCACCAATATTCAAGCTAGGTAAGGCACATACTGTCGAGGAATTCATCCTCTTTAAGAAAGACCAAACTGTGAACAATCCAGACATCCTGGGACCAAACCATCCTATCTTCATAGTTAGGGCATAGTATGACACTTTTCATTTTTTTTAACAGTTAAATTAATGGTTATATTTCTCAATCATTTAAAATTCCTCTAAACCCCAAACTAGAACTTCATTATAGCTACATAAATTTCCACCATACTAGCCTCATTGTCTTGGGCTTCCACAGTTCTCATCACACCATGAATGCTTCAAAAATCTCACACTGGAGCCATCTCCAACTTTGTACTTGATACTATTCATTAATTGTGCTAGGATTTTTCAATTCCTTTCCAATAGTATGCACCCATATGACACTAACTCATCTCCCATCAGTCCCATTCCATGGTCCCAGTCCTGTATTTTTAGTACAATTACATGCCATAATAAGCTCTCTAGCAGTTTATTGAACCTCCAAAACCATTTCCAACAAGGTTCAAAATTTCGATACGATATGCCCCGTATCGGGCATACCATATTGTATCGGTGGCTTAACGACACACCCCTTTAGGGTCGTATCAGGGTCTGACCTGGTTCAGGGGGTAGAACAGCCTTAAACCGACCCTTCTGAACCAGTTTCAAAGATAAAAAGGGGGGGAGCGAGCTTCAATACAGACTATCAGCCTGTAACACATCATATCTAAACATCCACCCTTTTAAGTGCACATTACTTTTATGTGGAAACACACAAGAGAGAGAGAGAGAGTCATATTCTCTTTCCCAACTATTTAGCTACACCTGTGAGCAATGTGAGAAGCAAGGTTCAAATTTTCGCAATGTATCAGCTCGTACAGCTGGCAGGTATTGTTCCGACAAGGATCTAATATGTGTAATGCAAGGAAATTACATGTTGTGTTCCATTTCTTCTGTATCGGGCTAATACATGCTTGTATTGATCCAATTTTAGTCTGTATCGAACCATGGGCCTGTATTGATCCAATTAACTGAACCGTGGGCCTATTTTCCAAGCCAAATCAGTATCATCGGTTTTTTAAAAAAACATGAAACAAAACCAAACCAAAACCAACCGGTTGGCCAGTTGATTGGTTCAATTTTTGACCAGTTCGATTCTTTAGTTTTTCGGTTATTTGATGATTTACAATATATTATCAATAAATATATACATATATAAATATATAATATAAATATTAGAAAAACATATAATATAATATTATAAAATATATGAAAATATATATAATATAAATATCTATATATACATATATATTAGTTGGTTCGGTTAATTGTTGGTTTTTCATATTGGTTAGCCAAAACCAAACCAATACCTTTGGTTTTTCAAAAATACCAAAATGACTGGTTCGGTTAATCAAACTTTTTGGTTCAGTCTTGTTGGTACGGTTCAGTCTTTTGGTTTTTTATGAGCACCCCAAGTCTGTATTGGCTGATACGGACTCGATACAAGCCGATACTCTAAGCGTATCAATCAATACATAACGTTTAAACCCATCTCTCTCTAATTCAAATAACTTTTCTAATTCTAATGTTTCACATTTTTTTATCAGTAACAGAAGCATTTCATTAATATGAAAAAACAAAGGTAGGTACAAAGGCAGAGGGAGATGAACTCTCTTAACTCCCCCAAAAATTTAAAAATCACATGTAAGCCCAGAACAATTGATTCCTTCCCATCGACTGTTTGGCTAGTGCATTTGCAAAGGAATTAGGACATCTCTTTACCCATTGTAGCCCCACTGTAATATCTCGAGTCAACCATTTGATGATCTTTTTCTCATTTAAGTAACTCCACATGCTACTCTCCACTTTTTGTGGCCAGTCTGTTACCAATTTTGAGTCTCCCTCTATAACTAACCTCCTTAAGTTGAGCTCCTTAGCCTACTTGACACCTTCCAAAACAGCTAGGATTTCACTTGGGCCTTGGAGAGAGTCTCCTTCCTCAATTAGAACTGAGAACATAGCAATAATGTCGCCCGCCTCATTCCTAAATACCCCTCCAATGGACGAAGAACACTCTTGTTAAGAGCTGACCAAGCCACTTCCTTCCAATTGTTCAGCAAAGCTGTTGTAGAAATATCTTCAAATAGCTTCAAAGACTTCACCCATTGTAACACCTCTGTGGTGATTACTTCAATTATTGCTCATCTAGACCTTTCCTTGTCAACAAATATTCTGTGGTTCCTTTCCTCCCAAATTGTCCAACAAACTGTGGCTAACCTTCCCCCACTTCTTTGTCCAACTGCCAGCAGCAGAACCAAAGAGGCTTCAAACATCTGGTTGAGGAATCCATCTGCAACCAAACAGATAAAAGAAGTACTCCCAAATAGAAGAAACAAATGAACAAGAAACTAATAAGTGATAGCAGGACTCACCAACTTTACAAAGAATACACTAGTTAGGAAATATGCACCAAAAAGGCTTCTTTCTTTGAAGAATATCACCAGTGTTAATCCTTCCCAAGAAAGCTTCCCAACAGAAAGCCCCAATTATAGGAGGAATCGGTTTACCCCAAACTTCCTTAACTGGAAAGGTTTGCCCAACACTATCAGAATTCAAAGTTAAAGCTTTGAAGGAGGCACAAGAAAAAATACCAGATGGAGAGGGGATCCAAATACATGAGTCCAACTTTGTTGAAAAAAGAAAATTCATTTCTTTGTAAATAACATCCTTTTTATAAAAATGGGTTTAGAGAGTCATAGTTGGTCTCAACCTTCTTGGTGAAAGCTTATCTGTTGAAGCTTCAACCAATCACCTTCAACTTGTGGGACCCATGTGATAAGATTTTCTTCTTATCTGCTTATCTGTAGTGTTAAGGCTATAATAACCATCTTGAACAGGATTTACTTGGCCTTTATCATTTTCTCTAGATTTCTTTCTAGATAACTTTGGGAGTTTAGGGACTCTTTTAGCGGGTCCCACTTGAGTCCATTGAATCTGGCCTTTCTTATGTAGAGTTGGGCTAGGCCAAGGCCCATAGATTAGAGTTTCTTGTAAGTTAGGGCTTCCATCTTGGATTTCCAAATTCAGCCCATTTAGGATGTTGACACATGGCATAAATTTTATGTGCCTACAAAAGCTTTTATAATTTAGGTCAGATTCTTGTATCTAGATTGCCTCACTATAATGTTGTGGAAAAACTGCTAAAGATATTTCATTAGGTTCCACCCTCTTACTATCCATCCCATCCACATACCCCCATGTACACCTAGATTATTTCCCTTTAAAGGACTCTTTCCAATTTGATCAGGTTGTCATCTATGGTCCAAATCAAATTTCCACCCAGGACACAATCAGGCAGGCCTCACAGATCCAAACCAACCCAACTCAATTATATGAGGGTCTGGGTCTGCATTACCTGTCCCGAATAAAATTGGATCAGGTTGGTTTTGGTTGTTCCGAACTGATTAAGACCCAAACCAACCATTACCTAATGTTGGTCCCAGCTATCTGGGGTCTTGGGAGGGGTATATGTATATTGGCATATTACAAAGATACCCCTAATCTCATCATCATCATAATCCAAGCCTTATCCCAACCATATGGGATCGGCTACATGAATCCTGTTTCGCCAGTCCATTCTATTTAATGCCGCATCCATTGTTAAATTATTGGCGCTTAAATCATTTTTCAATATTCTACCCCTGTCTAATACCTATATTTCCCTTTCACCATATAAAAATACCTTTTTCTTATGATATACCAGTAATTTTAACATACTTTGGTGTCCAATGTGTCAAATCAAAAAATATCAATTACAGGTTAAAAGAATAGTGGCTATTATAATTGGGTCATATCGGGTTAGACCCGACAGTCCCAAGTCCCAAAACAGACACTATAGAACCTGTAACTGGTTCTGTGCATTTACTAGTCAGCTCAAGTTCCAGTCTGCCCTGACCCAGACCAGACCCACTGATGGCACAAGGTCCACCTACTCTTCCCTTCACACCTAAAACCTTTGTACCTTGCTTTTTCTTTTTGTTCTCATTCATTCAAAGTATTTCAATACCATCAGTTTAATAGAGCTCTTCTGATTTCAAATTTGAAACCCTTCCCTGACCACTCTTCATCCAAATAGGATCATAGGTGCACTTTGCTAGCTGATTCATGTTTTTATCATCCCTCATATGTTGCTTCATGAAAATGAAGTTTGATTATGATTGCAAAAATTTATCTGGCAAAGAATAAGACTATATACAGGTCATATCATACCCAAGAAAAACTTTTCCAGCAGCAAGCACTGCACAAGTCAAAAAAGGGCAGCAGGAGAAGTTGAAAAAAAAATCATTTATTTTTGTTTCCATGTGGCTAATAGTATGCCACCTTATAAGATAAATTTTACATCTTTCCCCTCCAAGGAAAAACAATGAAATTGAATAATTCGATACCTAATTACTCCCACATTGCCAAGCCTCAACGACTCTTGGCGTATTTTCATCCTTGCTTCTTGTCTCTCTGCCTTCGAAACAGCTATGAGGAGATCAGATATTACTTTTATCCTCTGCAACAGTGGAAACAAAAGAATTATCCATACTATCAGGACAGTGTTAAAAACATAAAATTTCTTCACATTAAGTTCAAAAAAAAACAGAGAACTTGCCCAGAAAAACAAACTATATATAGCAAGAAAGAAGCATATTGTAACGAGCATTCTATTGAGTTATGAAAACGAATAAGCGAAGGATGCAAAGAATGGCAATAAGATGGTGGTCAAAGATGACACAACTCTAAAAGCTAGAACATGATAAAGTATTTTCAATACTTTAAAAATAACACTAATACGACAAGTATTTAATAGAGTAATTTCATATCAAATAAGCAACCAAAGAATGATATAATTTTCATCATCGTCATCCAAGCCTTATCATAACTATATTGGGAAGAATGATATAATTTTGTATGATAAAAAAAATTATGATAGAAAGTAAAAGAGGAAAAGAAAAAAGGGTGGATTTGCTATTTTATTTAATGTAAGAGAGAGAGTTGGGGAAAAAAGCAGAAACCTCTTTATCTAGTCTTGATCGATAAGATACCTCTTTATCCTTCTTCGCAAATAATAATTTTGGTATACATTGCAAAGATTCAGTATATTGTAATCACTGTTCGGCCAAGGGACTCTCACACCTTTAATACAAAAGCTTTAATTACCATTCAAAAAAATGGGGCTTCAAGGGGCCAATTGTAATGGGTCAAGTACCTCAAGGGAGCTGTAGCTAAAAACTGAATGGGAGTTAGCCAACGCTAGCCACCTCCTATGATAGCAATGTTATATAATTTTACCGTGATTAATATTTTTTAAAGTAATACCTACCAAAGAAAATCTTTTTAAAGCAGTAAAAATAAATGACAGTTAATTGATCAAAAAAAGGATTAGTAATAGTTTATCAGAGTTATTTTAGGAATTAGAAATCTTATTTAAGTGTCCTGGTTGCCTTAGTTTTTGAGTTAGAATTTATTTTCAGTAAGTTTCTTAGTTGAATTTTGGAGTCTACAAATGAAGAACCATGCCCTTATAATTAGTCTATAAATAGTCAGTGTAATTGAAATTTTATAGTAGAATTAATGAAATAAGCATTTATTTTGAAGCTACCTATGGATAATAGTGTTATCTTATTCTTTTTTCTATTTTTCCTCTAAAATTGCAGTCTTTCTTCTCTTTCTTCTCTGTTTCTGATCTAAATTTCTTTTTCTCCTAATTCAGATCCTTGATTTCCCCTCTTCACCACAACATTCATCCCATTAGCACTTCTTATCCTATAGCACTATTGGTATGTTATGAGTAGACTATGGAAGATGTTGGGTTATGAATCACAGCCTTAAGTGGAATGAATGCAATAGGAAGACAAAAGGGCAGCCCAGTGCACGAGGCTCCCGCCAATGCGGGATCTGGGGAGGGACAGATGTACACAGCCTTACCCCTGCACATACAGAGAGGCTTGAATAAGAATTATCAGCTAGCTCATATCACAAGGCAATCTGGAATAATATGACCATGTTGTTAACAATAGGTGCAGACATTCTTTTCCTTGCAATGAGAAGTAATGTGTCCAAACCCTTTCTTACTTCCTTGAGCAGTAAAAACTATATCAGCCCCAGAACCAATCAACTTTCCATCTATGTTCACAGAAGTCATTAGTCTCTTCCCTTAGCAACTCTCCCATCACGGAATCCAAATCCGAAACCTTGATATTTCATACACATGTCTAACCCTAATAAGAAACCAATTGTCACCCTTTTCTTCTCAAAGTGCTTCTGAAGATACTTAACACACTCTGAGGAGTCCAAGGGATCAATATGAACCAGTTCATACCCTGGCCACAAGTCAAGAAGGCCTGTATAGTATTTATTCCTTTATCTTTTTATCCCCCTAACAGTAAGCAAAAATCTCAGACTCAATTTGATACTGTCTTGATAAGTTGGACTGATGGTAAACCTTCTTCAAGTAGGAATACATCTACAAGGCTGTTCGCATTCTTCTCATGGCTACAGCAATATAAGATACAATCATACAATCGAACTTAAAATCCAGAAACTATTTTTCCATCATCCAACTTCCATTGTGAAATGGCCTTAGTATCATTCATCAAGTTTGGTAACTGTCCCATTCAAATAACCTTCCACGCCTTTCCCTTCAACAAAGAAATCAAAATGGAACTTTCACATGTTGTAGTTGGTTCCATCATATTTCACCAGAATAATATCAACATTCTCAACCATTCCAAATAAGAGATACAATCCAGAGAACGGGATGACAGCACTGAAACTGATTTCTCAAGGTGATTAACCACTCAACTTGAACAAGAAACAGTCCAAATACTAAAGTAAATACCACAGCACCCAAACAAGAAGGATTTTTCAAAAGAAAGACCCTTGACAGCAAAGCCGAAATGATGAAATAGAGGAAATAGCAGAGAAACCAAGTCCACTAATGTAATAAAATCAATCAACTTCAGTTTAAGAAGCCACAAAAGTGTTCCACCCTAAAGAGAAATCGAAATCCTCCAACAAATTGATACCTAGTGTTGACAATCCAAAAAAAGGTAAGTTTCAGGACTGTTGAACTAAGAAAATAGATCAAAACTGTTTAGAACAAATCTAAAATCTCAACCAAGTGACTGAGAAGCAAGAAGACCCTAGGCAGTCCCAAGAGGATAGAATCAGCCGATTAAGAGAAGGGAGATTCACCAACCTGTTAGGCGACTATTCCAGGAAAACTAGGATGTTCTGTGCTGATTGAAACAGACTTCAAATAACCTCCAAACAAGAGCTCGAAAATAGATGTCAAAGGCCTGAGGATTACCCTCAAACCGGAACAAAAAACTGAGATTACAAGCCGGTATCACTGACCTACTCTGGTACCATGTCACTTCCCCAGTAAAACAAAATAAAGAATGTGTAGCATACAACAGGGACTATGGCATACAGTACAACAGAGACTTTGCTCCATGGAACACTATGGTCTTAAAGTAATAATTTTTTAAAAATAAAATAAAAAAAAAATATTAAGGAAAAAGAAATACAACAGGCCAGCAGGGTGATAAGAAATCAGCACACAACTTCCACAACAGAGCTAAAAGACTTCCAAGACAACAACCAAAAATGAAACGAGACCCATCCACTGCAAAACCAGAGACAAAATAAAATTAAATCAGAATAACACCCTCGACCCAATACTTGAACCACTATTCCCCCACCCCACCCCCCCCCCCCCCCAAAAAAAAAAGAATAATCCAAGAGACCTCCCAATCTCCACCTGTCTATCCACTAGTCTAACAATACCCACTCTTTCCTTTTAGAATTGCACTCCTTAGGAGACTCTTCACTTCCATAGCCCCCTAACTTCATTCCACCCTCTCTCCTTTCCCCTTCATCCTCAGATTGAGATTCTTTCGTCCTTCCTTCTCAACCACCTTTTCGATTACCTCCTTCTCGGCTACAATCTCTTCACCCTCCTTCTCTTCTATAATCTCTAGCCCATTTCATTCCCTCTTTTCCTTTGAGGACTCTACATCTATTTGATTGGATGGAAAAGGATCTGAAATCATGTTAGTCGGATCTAAATCCAAAGTTGTTACCTTATCTTTGTCTTTTGGTGTGGTTTGACCTTTAGCCTTGAATTCCAATCCTGTCCTTTTGTAGATTCTCTTGAATTTGTTGCTAGAGTCATCCCCGAATAGCCCTTCCTTAAGTTTGTGAAAGACTTTAGTCACATGAACAAACTGCTTGCTTCCCGACCCTTTGGGTTTTCTGAATTCCCTTGTTTTAAGTGTGTCATTAACAAGATTTTCTGAAATTCCTTCAACACTTTTCCTACCTAGATCCACCCCAATTTTCTTACTACAACCGATTTTATTCAAACTTCCTCTTCGCACACCTGAACAAAATCCACTTCACTTGTTTCACCCCCAGAAGCCAGTTCCAACTCCCTGTTGTCAGTCGTTCTTGAATACCTCGCTCTTCAACGCACAACCTCGATCACTTCATTTCCTTCGTTCTCAACTACATTTGTGGGGTTAGTTGTCAATAATCCCCACTGGTTCTCGCCTGTCGCAGCTTTCTCTTGAATGATGCCATTGGATGAAGCCGACAAAAGCAGTTGAGGTCCATCTATAACCATAATTGGCATTGTTTCATCCTTCGAGTTTCTCAGATGACTTGATGAGCTCATCTCTCCAAAATAGATGAACCTTGCGGTCACCCATTCCCATATCTCTTTCTTCCTCTTTCCTAAGCTCTTGGGGAGTTTTGAACCATGCTAGTTTTTTCACCTTCAACCAATTAAACTCACTACTCTTCCTCTTCCTCTTTCTAAGCAAACCAAATCCTGTAAAACTTTTTTGCTGCCTCAATCAATTCATAGGATAAACTTACTCATGACTTAAGAAAGACGATGACGGACATAAACTTCTATCCATAATCGACCTTTGTATTAACAGCACGCAATCAAGAGGCTAACCAAAAGGATTGACTGACTCAGGCCCAACGTCTTTTAAAAGCCTACTTAGCCCATACATCTCACCGAAATAAGGCAATTGTTCAACACTTGTCCTCTCTACATTTTTTCTCTCAAAATTACCTCAATTCCCTTTGAGAGAATCGCCCTTTTATTCACCTCTTCAGCAAAATTTAAAATACTTTCCTCTTTCGTTAAACTCTCTTCACGTAGCAAAGCATTAAACCGTTCAACTTCCAAGACTGGCGCTTCCTCTCCACTCCCCATTCCTTTCTGCCACATGTAAACCACCAAGCCAACTCATCATCTTCTTCAACCTTGGAATAGTCGTTCCACAACGCCGCTTCACTTTTCGTAGCAATCCAAACCTTCCTCCATCATCCTTCAACCCATAGGTCACATGAACAAGGAATGCATTCTGGTTTCACCCCAGACAATTTGACCTTTCCTGCATACAGATCTTCGCAGCAATAGTCTTCCAAAGATCCACCTAACGCAGATACTATTCTGTCAATTGAATCCCCTTTCCAAACAAAGATCAACCCTGCATCAGATTTTATTGATGAATCTTCCACTGTTGTGTCTCCTACATTAACAATAGCCTTATCAGAAGTGCTTTACAGTCTCTCATTTTCTCCTCTACAGTAACAACGTATCTCTTCTCCTAGACATCATTTTTCACCTCCAATGAAAGCTTTGGCATATTATGTGAGCTATCAATGAGAAGTGGCCCCTGTTTCTTCTGATCATCGCGGGCTATTGCTACACCCCTGTTGGGCTCCAAGCTCTCCTCCGTTTCTACAAGGCAATCAACTTCAATAAAAATTTCCACCATCTCCTCTCTCAGAGATTCTGAAGCAATGAAACAGAGCTATTTTTGCATTTCTTCTGAAAACCTCAACCAGCCATTGCTTACCGTCCCTTCCAGCAGGCAAATTATTTGCCAACAACCTTCCTGTGCTCTGTTACAGTTACATACTAGCCTTTTCTATTCCATTGTAGCACTGACTCATACCTTATATCTGCAAAGCTCACGAAACTTCTCCACCCTACCATTCTAACATAGAACACCGCCCCATCCACAAAGCCCTTTAGGCACTGTAGTGCTCCTTCAGTTAGAAGAATTATAGCTTTCCTTTCCTCCTTTAACTTCAGATACCTTTGATCCTGCCATCTACAATCCGCTAAAATCAGATTTTTTGCTTCAATCTGCAATGGCCTCCCTAATCACAAGCATCTTAGCTAAAGAGTAATAAGAAATTAGCAAGTGGTTCTCCTATGAGAGGAGTAATAATGTCCATGGACTGGTATCCACCTCCACCTCCATAATGCCCACAATTTAAATCTTGATGGATGTTATTTTGCCAATCCAGGGAACCTAAGAATTACGAGGTGCCAGAGATCATCATAGTCAGGTTATCATTTAGTAGTCAGCCCTAGTAGGTTCAGGGAACTCAATTAGAGCAGAACCACTTTAAGTAATTCAAGGTCTTAAGATTTGCTAACTAATAGAAATCAAGCTTGAAGATGGAGGGAGATAAGTGATTGGGTGGATGAATCAAGAGGAAGAAAAATCTTGAATGTTCAGGCATGTATCAAGAGAAGGCAGTTTCCAAACAAGCAACCAGAAATATCATGTTCAGGTGAACTAGAATTTAGACGATCATCAAATGAAGCGGCTGATACATATGCAAGGGAAGGGTAACTAAAGATAAACTGTACTTGGGGCCTACCAATCATGGGTAGGCAGTATTGTTGAATTTTTCAGCATTCACCTATGTTTGCGGTGAAGGCATAACTATAATATTTGTAATTAAAGGGAGAGCCTAGTGGCTTTTCTTTTCTCTTCATCCTCCAAATCATGTACCATTTCTACTCAATAATATTACTTTCGAGACCATTTCCCACCTATTAATATCCTGCCCTTTTGTGCTTTGTGTGTGGGAGTATTTTTGCTCTCTTTCTGAATGCAGGTGGATTCCTCCTCAACACGTGGTGAGTCTCTTCATCCAGGCTTCTTGAGGCAGCCAAAGAAAAGGGAAAGGATAATGTGGAAAGCAGTCAGAGCAGCAGTGGTTTGGACTATATGGGAAGAAAGGAATGGGGGAATATTCAATGAGAAGAGCAGATACAAGGAGGAAATCGTATATTCCATAAAGATAAGAATTGCACACTGGGTAAAGATAATGGAAATCTTTCAAACTTTCTTGGTCAATGATATCATAAGAACTTGGGCAGAAGTGGCACAATCTGCTAAAAGAAATAGGTTAACCATGGAATGGAAACTTCCAGCAATTAACTTTGTAAAACTAAATTGTGATGGGAGCTCTTTAGGTATTCAAGTGATGGCTGGTAATAGGGGGAATATTTCGAGATTCATCTAGCACGGTTTGGCTTTGTATTCTGGCCCTATAGGAGAAGGTGATTCACTAAAAGCTAGTTGATGGCACTACTGCAAGGACTAAGGTTTGCAAACAGTATGGGTTCAATTATTGGAAATGGAAGGGGACTCCCAAGTGGTCATTTCCTGGACAAGATGCAATAGTCATGTTCCCTGGATCTACAGGCATGCCTTTAGGGAAATTAAAAGCCTATCAAGGGAGTCAAATGTTGCTTTTAAGTATGTGAAAAGAACTGCAAATGAGATGGTGGATGCTCTAGCAAAACAAGGGGTTAATAGGCAAAAAATGTTTTCGGCAAAGTGTAACTCATTTTGTTTTATAGGATGACTGAATCTGCCCAACTTATTATACTCATTTAAATTACATACTTTTTTTCTTGATAATTCTCATTTAAATTACATATTTGATAAAACCCACTTTGCTGATCAAAAAAAAAAAAATCAAGAGGAAATATATATTTTTCCTTTAGTCAGATATTTATGAGTCAAACACTTCGAATCATCCGCTCAGCTCGGCTACATTGCCACCATCACCTTCAACCTCTCCGTGTATCTTGTCTTAAGCCAGCATCTTTTTGGAACATGTAAAGCTGTGTTAATATACCAATAAAATCTGGTTTAATCCCCTTCATTTTTTTACTCTAACTTGCACTCTTCAAATCTTTCTCTGTTTGATTGAAACAAAAAAAATTCATTAACAGTCATAACTTCACCAATATTTCAAATGAGGTTCAGTAGAAAAAATGGCTCAACTGAGAGCATAGACAACACTGTAAAACAGACAACTTCTATAAATAGTGGAAAATGGATTACAATAACATAAGTGTGAAATATGAGACCACAAGAACAAAGCACCAAGAATATAAATAACAAAGAAAATAAATAAGTATTATTTTTCTTCCCAATCAGTTGAAAATACGCACCTTATTTTGAATTCATTAGGAAATCAATTCAGAGAAAACACAACTGACTTATCCAACCAATATAACCAAAAAGGTCAATCTCAGCTTTAAATGGAATATATTAATCAATCAAAACTCAAAAGTTTGAAACGAATATCACCTTTGGCTTCAATTGCTGTTCATGATCTTTTATGTCCTTCAATTCCTGTAACCATAAAGAAAATACGCAAATAAAAAGGACAGATTATACAGATAGCAATAATGTAATAAACAGGTTACAAAAAATGCCGTTAAAGAATGATTACCTTTTCTAATTGGCAGATCAGCTGTTGATGATCAAATGCTTCTTGGCGTGACTTGCGTAAGTCCTCCTCCAAAGATGCTACTCTTGCACGTAATGATGCAACCTCCTCCTAAATATAGATAAAAGAAAAAGAAGAAAAAACTGTGAGAAAGAAGCAATACATCATTCTACTAGCAAGTGGAACTCATTTTCAGCATAGACTCCAAGAAAACCTAGAGAAAAACATGCATATTTCAGTAAAACAATAATCAGCATAAGAGAACTTATCACCAGATATTCAAAAAGTTCAGCAAAGTAGCACACTACCTCTAAAGAAACGACCTCATCTGTCCCAAGATGCTCCCTTAGCCGACATTCCTGCAAGACAACATCAGTTAGCACAGTAAACATAACAGGAATTGCAAATAGGGCCAAGATAAATTTAAAGCATCCAGGGTCTAAGAAGAAGACACCTCTTAACATTTGGGATATACATTTTTCTGTAATAAAATAAAAAGAGAAGTACAAGGTGACAAGAAGTCACCAAAAGAAGAAACCCAACACTCAACAAATTAACTCACCAGCACCTAGAATTCAAACCAAACCAAAACCCTGCCATCAGCAACCCAAAACACCAAAGGGCAGTCCAGTGCACAAGGCCCCCACCAATGGGGGCTCTGGGGAGGGACAGATGTACTCAGTCATACCCCTGCACATATAGGCCTGTAAACGGCATTCGAAAATCTGTATTCAAATCCAAGATTCGGCATAATCAAATCGAATTTGGATAGTTCAAATCGGATATTCGGTCAAATTCAAATATGTTTTCATACCGATTAAATTATCTGATCTAATCCAAATATGCATTGTTTTGATCTGATTTTTTTTGAAGAATAAAAAGAAAATTCATTAAATTGAAAAAATGCAGTACCAATGGGGGCTCTGGGGAGGGACAGATGTACTCAGTCATACCCCTGCACATATAGGCCTGTAAACGGCATTCGAAAATCTGTATTCAAATCCAAGATTCGGCATAATCAAATCGAACTTGGATAGTTCAAATCGGATATTTAGTCAAATTCAAATATGTTTTCATACCGATTAAATTATCTGATCTAATCCAAATATGCATTGTTTTGATCTGATTTTTTTTGAAGAATAAAAAGAAAATTCATTAAATTGAAAAAATGCAGTACATCTCAAAATGCAGGTTGTCGAGATGACAAACCATCTGTGCTTAACAGAATTACACTGAAAAGGAATCAAATTACATGGATTCAATTCCAAAGTGTTCCAGAAGTTCTCTAACAGATCTGCCTTGTGCACTTGGTCAAACTCTGGAAGACTTAGGGCCCAGGCTGAAGTCATATTGCCCACTCCTACTATCAGATATTCGATGTTTTTTCACTTGTCTTCAAATACTCTTCTGTTCCTTTCTTTCCAAATGGTCCAACACATTGCAAATGGAATACAGCTCCACAAGATTTTGGCTTTCTTGCTTCCTCTGATTTTAGGCCACAAGGAAAAAATCTCTGCTGATGTCGCGGGATGAAAACAGCCACTCCAAACAGATGAGAGAAAAATTTCCACATAAAGTTTGCCAAATTAGTGGAGAACTGTTTCCTCTGCTTGGCTGCACATATAGCAACAGATTGCAAGCTGCAAACCTCTGGATTTCAGATGATCGCAAGTTAAGATACTATCATGTGCCACCAGCCAGGCAAAAGCCTCTACCCTTGGGGGAACAGGATTGCCCCAAACACCTTTTATCTGATTTGAATCCCTACCATCTCTAGAGCCATGTAAAAGGATTTAACTGAAAATCGTCCTTCTTTGCAATCTCTCAACCATAAACCATCTGTTGTATCTCTGGAAATGTTAGCCTCTTCCAATTTCTCCAATAGCTGAATGCATTCTTTCACTTCTTGGTCCAATAAAGGTCTTCTAAACTTTGGATTCCAGACCACTTTTGATCCGATAAATATCCGAACCGATATATATATATATAGTAAAAAAGAAATTTCCATTCTCTAGATCTCAACTCTTGATTCATCATCTTCCTACCTCTCTTATTCTCACTTGCATTCAAAAAATCAAAACCCTAACCCTTCCTTCACTGCTGCCCAAGCAACCACCACCACCGACAGCTACATCAACAACTCAGCGGTCGAGCACCAGTCACCAGCCACCGCCTCTCATCCTCTATTCCTACCTTTTCTTCCATCTTCTTCCTCCACCACTTCTCTCTCTCTCTTCAATCTCTTTCTTTTCCCCTGTTTCTTTTCTTTTGATTCAGATTATTGGAAGTGTGATTTACAACTTGGTATCAGAGCAAGTTCTCACCTTCTTTTCTTTCTTTTCTCTTTGCCCATATATAATGTGTATGTAGAATTGGTCGGTCGATTAGGGAGCAACTTATGTAGCCCAGTTGGGAGGGTTTTTGGAGAGGTTTTGTGAAGCTTTTCATCCCCAAATGAAGCCCAAAGAAGGTTCTTGGAGTTTTTTTCCTGAAAACCCTAGACAACTGGAGAAAACTAATTACAAGTCCTAAAGACGCTTTGAAGCTGGCGCTTGGGGATCAAAGGGTAGCCCTTTGATTTTCACTGTTAAAGTTAGCCGAATAAGGGTAGATTAGTCAACTCACCTTGGTTAAGTTATGAGCTTATGTGGCAGTCTTATTAGAGGTTCTCTGTCCCATACTTAAGTAGGGGCAGTTTAGTCCTTGTACATTTAATTAGAAGCCTAATCACTATTAAGAGGTCGACTGATAGGGTTTAGCTATCAGGTTCGAC